CTACTACTACTGCTATTATTGCTACTACTACTACTAATAATAATAATACCGACATCCCAACCAAATGCTTTTATTCCAATAAATCGCAAGATTGCGATAAGTCCGGATTTGCAGGTCAACCTTATGCTGCAGCAGCGTTGCGCGAAGCTGTTTGCTTGCCGCATGGCCTCGAAGTTTCGAAAGGTGCCGAGGAACATCTGAAAGCCTCAGCCGACAGGCTGCCGAGGGTGGAGATCAATGACCAGTCTACAATCGTATCTAAAGTTACATGACAACGACAGCGAAACAAATAGATTGATATTGTGAGTAGTACTACCACCACCACCACAACTACTACTCCTCCTGCTAACAACAACTACTACTACTACTACTACTGCTACTACTGCTACTACTGCTACTGCTACTGCTACTGCTACTGCTACTGCTACTGCTACTGCTACTGCTACTGCTACTAATGCTGCTGCTGCTGCTGCTACGACTACTGCTACGGCTACGGCTACGGCTACGGCTACTGCTGCTGCTACTGCTGCTACTACTACTGCTACTACTACTAGTACTACCACNNCTGCTGCTGCTGCTGCTGAGCTCTTGGAGAATTTGTGAACGATGAGCGAAGCCCTTGAAACGGACAAGAGCAAGAAGGAAGAGCCAACGGCTTCAAAGCCTTAACTGCTCGAAAAAGACTCCACAAGTTCAGGAGGGGGCAAGAGCCGGAATCGGACTAGAGACATTGACAAAGTTAAGCAGACCGTGCGCGAAACTTGAGGAACGTCTTATTTAACCTTTAGGTTTGGCATCTTGGAGGGATAAGGAGGCAAGTGGACGGGAGGCAGGGCAGCGGCGGGGCGTGTAGAGGGTCTTGGGATGTTGACTTAATTTCAAGACTCCTCCAAAGGGACAGAGATGAATGGTAAAGGAAATACATGACATGCAGTATTCGAAGGGATTGTCTCGAAACAAGGTTCGGTTTGGAAGCCTAGACAGATGTGAACGCAAAGTTGAAAAACAAGCAACAGAACCCAACAACCAGGCCCAGCGTTTTCAAAACAGCTACTTACAGAGTCCATGCATTGCTCAAAATACGCAGTAAGACACGGCAACAAATGGCACACGCACCCTCCTTTGCTATGATACTCTGTGATGCGACCCTGTTGTAGTGTGATGCTTTCGGTTAGTTAATGTACCATAGATTTTATTTCCATATGTACCCATTCATACGTACGTACATACATGCATATTTTCATGCATGCATATGTACATGCATACA